TATTTTTTTTAAATGATGAAATCTCTTCAGTAGTTATCGAGAGAATTGTGCATTAATTCAGCCTTTTCACTTGTGGTCTTATTTGTGAAATGGCGTAAGTATTTAATTTTTTTTTAATTTTTATTTTTTGTAACTCTTTGAAAAATAATTGTAAGACATTTTCATTGACATAATCTTAAATCATACCTTATTTTGATCATTTTTTTCAATTTATATTATCAATTAAAAAGTTAAAATGTATTTTAACTTTTTTTTGAACACACTGTATACAATATATCTGAAAATGGAAATGCTATCATATGTAATCCCTCTTTTCGGGAAAACAATAAAAAACATAAAATCCAATATTAAAATTTTAATTACTAGCTTGTTGGTAAAAGTGTATTTAAGGGTACCCTTTGCCGGTATATGGATACTGAGTTTGTGCAATTCTTTGCACACTTCCTTACCTTTCTCCATGTACACGTCAACCTATTTTCACTGGGGGGGGGGAAAGAATTTCGCAAACTTGCCATCGCACAGTCCCTTTGTCCATGTACACATCGATATATATTTTCACTTAAAAAGTCAAAGGAGCACCCAATTCTAGGTAAAAGTATATTTACGGAACATTCAACTACTCAGGTTACCATAAATGAAACAACAACTTGCCGATAAATGAAATATCACACTTCCAAAAGTTAATCACGAAGATATAAAATGCAAAGAAATAATAAATACTGCTTTGATTGACACAAAATTCGGCAGGAAAGTAGCATATATATTTATGCATAAAACAAAATCAATAATTATATACAGAAATGAAAACAATATTAAATTTTGGTAAGTTATCAGATAATGACATACTGGAGACTTAAACAGAATTATGTATAAAGTGAAAATAAACAGCATAAAATGAAAAACGGACATTAATAGTGTATGTGATACCCCCTCATCTGTATACAAAGTTTACACTTTGTGACCATGCTTTCAATTAGGTGGTCAGCCACCGCAGAATTAAGTAATCGCCATTCTTCTTGTAGAGCAGTTTCCAGCTGAATAAGAGTGGCTGGAGGTGGGAAACGTGAAGATACAGCACGGCCAAGAGCATCCCAAAGATTTTCAATGAGATTAAGGTCGGGCGAATATGCTGGTCACGCCATACACGCAATCCCTTCACTCTCCAGGTAGTCATCGACAATGCAAGCTCTATAGGGACGTGCATTATCATCATCCATTAAAACAAAAATAGGGCCAACTGCTGCAGTGTACAGTATCACAATGGGTTCTAGGACTTCATCTCGATACCGGACAGCCATCATAGAACCCCGTTTAAAGATGTGTAGGTCGGTGCGGTATCCTAATGAAATCCCTGCTCACACCATAATGCTTCCACCTTGGAATGCGTGAAGTTTTGGGAGTGATTGCGTGTTCTTTGTTCACACCATATCCTTATACGCTTGTCATCTGGCTCCAGAGCAAAGCTTGACTCATCAGTAAACATGACATTGCCCCAGTCAGATACATTCCAATTGACATGTTCCTGGCACCACTGTAATCGTGCCCCTCTTGATTGGAGGAATAGAGGAACACAAACTCGAGGTACCCGGGCGTACAGTCCACTCATATGTAATCTTCAGCGTACAGTAGCTGCAGATATCGCCTTACCAATGGACCCTTTAACCATAGATGTCACATGTGTGGAGGTCACTCTGTGATTTCTCTTGGCTACAATAGCAATATATCGATCTTCCGCGGCAGTTGTAACCCTTGGTCGACCGGCTACGGGTCTTCGAACAACTGTCTGTGTGGTTTGGAATTGTTTCCATAAACGTGAAATTACAGAATGATGAACGCCGAAGAAAAGAGCAACATCTGTGATCAATTGTCCTGCTTCAATGCGCCCCACAGCACGCCAGTGCTCAGAATCTTCCATTCGTCTTCTAGAAGTCATAGAAACACGTATGTCTTGAAAAGAAATTGTACGAAAGTTTTAAACACCTTCTATCAGCACTTACAATCAACTTCTGTAACCCTTCATAAAGCTGGCTTCTTCTAAGACTGCCTTTTTTGCGTATTTCTTGACATGAAAGCGCAATTGGCTGTTACTTAACATATTTGCATACTTCCATCTACCTCTGCACCAAATTGCATCCTCTTCAATTCTGATTGGCTTCGGGAAATTAGCATTTTCCTCTCCGTGCTTAACTTTTGGAAGTGAGTGTACAAGGGGTACCCTTCAGTCTACTCTAACTGTTTGTTGTTGTTTATTCATAATCATTTTATTAAAATGAGGCTTTTTTTTTTTTTGAAAGAGACTGGCATATGTCATCAGATGCATTTAAGAGTTTTCTGGCTTTTGTTTTCATTTGCAAAAATGCTGAAAATCTTATTTTGTAGAGGTAGAAGATGGCAAATACTAAATGTTTCTCTAGTGCTTTTTTGTCGGTTGTGGATAATGTTGCGGTGAATATATTTCCATTGAAATATATCACCACCTTAATGTGGTGAATATTCTGTTGTTTAATTTCATTAATTTAAAATCATAACCAACAACATAACCAAAAATAACCGTGAAAACGTACTTTTGTGTAGTGTAGGATAAAAATTTGAAATCTAATTTATATGAGCAATAACCCTAAATAAGAATGTGTACCTAGAAAGGAATTCATAATTATAACACCAAAAAAGTTAGTTTTATTCGTTATATTATGTTATAGAAATAAAGTAATGCTGTTATCTTGTAAGAAATAAAAATAATTCAACTCCTTTCTGAATTGCTAAACATGTTAACATTAAGTAAAGTAATCATTTTTTTAAATTAATAATTTCATGAATTTAAGCAATTATTTAGCGATGGCAAATATAACATGGAGTTGGCATTGGATGCAAATTGACCCCATCTTCCCATGGAGAAGAAATGTGGAAATAGTTTAAGAATTGTGCCTTCTGTGAGTAAGACATCTCCTTAGAGCTCGGCCTTTACCCAAATCTTGTTAGTGAATACTTCAGACTTGGCAACAGTGCCAGACATCAGTGCAGGCTATATCGGTGCAAGGCAGCATCTCCTACGGGAAGATCATCTGGTGTTCGTTGGTGACTCATCAGGACTCCACTAAGCCTAATTCGGGGGGGTTGACAGTTTCGGCATACTTGGCAACATCTTTCGCGACGAGGGAACATTAGTTGGGACCGAAAACAAACCAGCTGTTTACTTTTCAGATGCACACATAGAGAAAAAGGTACAAAGAAAAGACATTTTGCTAGTTGACTCGCCAAAAGCAGGAGTTTAATAATGTTGAAGACCGTAAGTGCAAAACCAAATTCACAGCAGCATTTCTTACGCTGCTTAAATACCTGTCATACCTGTCAGAAATACATCACCTGTCAGAAAACAACTCTAGAAGTATAAAAACTGCGCTTCAAAGTGGAAAATTGAAGTCAGGATATTTGTGCCATTCCTGCTAAAAATATATGTTTAATTCTGACTAACTTCTCAAGCAATTAAGCTAGGCTAAAAAATATAATTCTACCAGAAAGGCACAAATTTTCTGTACAAAAGCATATAAATTTCAATTAGTTAAGTTCATAATTTCTATTTTTAAATTGAGATAATACTCTAGAAATACATGAAACACTAGTCTCTCTAACGCAAAATCAAACCCAAGAGACCTATTTGGAGATTTCCAAAGTTAACCACAGTTTAAAAAGTTCACTAACTATACTATAATTAACTTTACTTATTATAATAAATACTAGCAAACACACTAGCTGATTAAATCTTTAATTAATATTACTAATGAGTTATGTAGCTGAAATTTAGGATACACTTTTAGTAATCATTTCTAAAATTTACATTTCTTCAACACCTTACCACCAGAGTCAGATAATATGGGTTCATTAAAAAAAATAATAAATAAATAAATAAATAAATAAAAATATCAGAAGAAGGGGTAAACATTAAACAAAAACCAATTTAAATTTGCACACCAAGCTAGTGTAACCAACAGTACAAAATAAAACCAGATAACTTATTTTAAGTTTTTAGGCAAAGAAAAAAAAAAAAAAAAAAAAAATTAAAAGTTAAAAACCAAACTTCACTTTAAAGGATAAAATGATTGACCTTACCAACTTAAATTTAACACTTGCAGCTAATAACAAATTTAACTTTCAACAATTACTTTAAACTGAACCAATAAAAATCAAAATTAAAAACATTCAAGTACTGAATCAAGAAGCAGCAAAACTGATAAATTGAATTTTAAGAAACAATATTACATAACAATAAGCTTCTAACTGTTCTAAGTCTAGTATTTCAAATTCCTATTCCATATGCACATTAGCTCGTATTTCAGTAATTTCTTCCTATAAAAAATCATTACTGTTTATTGAATTTGGATGAAACAAAAATGAATTGAGTATCTGTCTATTAAGTTTGCTAATATTTCCTGTGGAAAAGTATCAAATTAAATGATTCACTCAGTTGCTGGACGTGTATTATAATTTCTGATATAATTGTTATATTTTTGTTTTCCAAAACAGCTGAATCCGGCAAAAGAAAGTTTGCTAAATTCTTAAGTTCAACTTGATGTTTCCAAAGTTTTAATTTTTCAATAAATGAAGCTAATTTTTCATTAGCTGTTATTATGTTCTTGCCAAATCTTTGCATCCTTTATTCATGTGGTTAAATATATCTAGATAGGCTAGCCAAAGCAATGCGTCTCTATTTCCAAAAGCTTCCACTGAATGGCTATTTTGGTTAATAAGAAACTGTATAATTTCTTCATGCAATTCAAAAACCCCGGTCAGCATATTGCCTTTGGAGAGCCACCGTATTTCCGTATGATAAAGAAGCGCAGTATGAACAGCACCGATTTCTTCGCACAAAGCATGAAAAATACAATGATTAAGCACTCATCCTTGGATGTACTTACTACATTAATTGTTGTAGTTAGATATTGTGTTTCAAATTCTCTGACAAATTTTCACTGCAAAATAAAAATATATGTTGTATTTTACAGGATATAAAAGATCTTGCTCTGAGGATTCAAATGACTCAGATCTGTCATCAACTAAAAAGACAAATGAATCAAAAATTATTGGACCACAGTGTCCAGATTTTATCTTACAAAAAATGTCTCATTCAACTGAGAACTCAGATTCGTCAGTAACAAATGAAGGACAAATATCTTCAAATATTATAGGCCCAGAATTACCTCCATCAGTTCAGTGTGCAGAATATAATGATTATTCAGATGATGAATGCTATGGACCTATGCCTGCTGAATTGAAAGAAGATGTGAATGATGTGATTACAACTATTGAAAAGAGAGCTGTAAATATGAGGAACAAATTGCAGAATACGGTAATTCAGGAATGACACATTTTTGTGTAATTTATAAATGAATTCATAAATATATATGTAAATTGTTATGCATAATTTTATAAGTAACAATGTGTATTGTAATATTTTAAATATGTATATGTGTGTGTGTGTAAGATAAAAGTATAACTTTGATTCTTATATCCCTTCAAATCTTCTTTTTAATTCGGTTCCCTTTTATAACCTAAAAATTGTAAATTGCCCATAATAAATATTGCTCTGGAGTCTTTCTGAAGAGCAACATTTGAAAATTATTACCTTTTATTATGATTCTTATGTAACGACATATACTTACATAACAGCAAAACTGTAACTGAAATTTGGATTATTAAATAAACAAATAGAAATAAAGTGGAACCTATAACTTTGCTGTTCTAAATCTAATATCAGTATCATAATCTTCCCTCTTTTGACATTTGCTTATATTTTTCATAACACCATATCTAGTTTCTCTTCATCAAATGGTGTCATATTATAAATACACTTATAATTGCAAAACATGGATGTGTATCAATTTTATATATTATGAATGTCATATGAAGGATAAAATGCAGGTCAGTCAAACAGGACTGCATCTTTAGTATAACATATAGCTATCATTATCACTGGCATCTACAAAGGCACAAAATTATGTATATGTGTGTATGTATGATTTCTTTTGAATTAAATTTCAACTAATTGAGTATAATAATCCAAAATCTTTGATAAGTCAAAATAAATATCTCCTATACATAAAAACCTACTAAAATTTAATATTTTATCAGTACACTTTAGCAAAATATGCCTTTGGAGCAGTAGCAGTATTTATGTGACCAAAGTATAAAATTTAAGAAAATTATTTAAAAAGTATTCCATCACTTCAAGAAATTTTGGTACTTCCTGATTATTCATACGCCCGCCAAACAGCCATGAAAAGTATTAATGAAGCAATGCACTATACATGGAAATTTCAACTGTTTTTGGGTCACTGTGATTATGGGTGATGCAGAAAGCCAATCATTTCCTCATATTTTTAGCGAACACCAATCACAGTATATACAGGAAGAGATCAACAGAGCAAAAGGTGGTGCTTGAATGCATCTTTGAAATAAATATAAAGATATTCAAACAAACATTACTGTTAATGATTACGCTAATGAAACATAATTATGCTAATGAATTTACAAATGTTCTCCATAAGTTGCAAGTTCAGGGGTGCAAATACCAAAATTAGATTGGTACCTTTTTGCAAAGTATTTGGCTAATTGTTTACCCCATTCCTAAGTACCATTTTAGCAAGAAGTTTTCTTAACTTAAAATACTTGGTAAATTGCACTTTTTTCGAATTATTTTGTAACTATTTGTAATGCAGATAGTGAAGAGATGTAAAATATAGAAACAAAATGGTTTATTCTTTTTACATAATAATTCTCTTTTAACATATTAAGCTTCTAAAAAATGCATTTAAACAAAATAGCAATAAATTCAGGTCTTTATGCAATTACAATACAGTACTGTCCAAAATCCAGATGTCCTCAAATGATCTAATGTCTGGACCAGCTTGTTTTTTTTTAAATTTTATTAATTTACTTTTTTTTTTAAAATTTTTATTTATTTATTTATTTATTTTTTTGTGTGTGTGTAAAAAGAAAGAATTAGATTTTGAAATAAGGTCTCGCTTTAATATATATTTAATTCTCCATGCATGCACATTATATATTTTTTCAAAATAAAAAGGTCCCGATTCTTAATTTTAGTTTGGCATTAAATAAAACATCTCTATGTTAAAGAAACACAATCATTTATTAGCTGAAATCTGTGTGATCAACAGTTTGTTGGCTCAATAGCCGTCTTTTTGCTTGGCATACATCTCAAACCAAAACATTATACTAAAGTTCATTATTAATATAACTTGTGCCCCTTGACATCAACCTGGTAAAAATATTTTATTATTTTTTTGTTGTCATCGTTCTATGTCTGTCAGCTCATAACAGTCTGAGAAGTGACTCACACAGTGATATCTAAAATATATATTTTTTTAAATGATAGTAATTGAATATCAAACAGCATGGTAACCTTTTATGTTAACTCAGCAACCATAACAGATTTCAGTCAACTGCTCTGCAAAACAGAGTGTATTGAACAAGGAGAAATTCTTTCATATCCAAACAAAAAAAAAAAAAAAAAAAAAAAAAAAAAAATATATAATATATATATTATATATATATTCATAGGCCAAAAGATTACACTTAATACTGTTTGAATCAAAAATAACTGATTTTATATTCAGATAAACTTTAACTCTATGTGTGAAATATGTAAGTATAATAAATGACTAAACTAATATAATTCAGGCTTAGCATCTGCATCATGCTATAAATAAGAGAAAATATAGAGGACCAACATGTCTTTAGTCTCAGTTTCATGGTACATCAATAATAGTGTATAGCTAAGCATTAATTTAGCATTAGTTAAGCATTGAGCTGTGCTAAAAAGAAAAAACTACTCGAAATCTGTTGTATGGTTCTAAATGCAGACAGAATATCACTGCCATTGTGAAGAAAGTGACAAAGAGGTTGCCGAGAGTGAAAAGATTTTGAATGACAATTTAGTGAGAATTCTGGACTCATCAGCTACAGGAAACTAAGCAATGGAACTTTGTAACTGAATGAGAAATTATGAGAAGTAACTTAAACATTGAAATAAATGTTTTACGAAGCAAACAAATAAGTTGAGTATTTTTTGCAAATTTCAATTACATTTCATTCTTTTCATAAACAATGATTTCATATTTTTAACTCTATAATTCTTATATGTCATCTTACTAGATTTGATATAAAGATATAAAATCTGGAATTGCTGAAGTCCTAAGGAGTCCATATCTTGGACTTTGTACTTCAATATGTAATTTATTCCATATTTAACTCAAAGATAATATTTTCTTAAACATGCAAGGGCAATTTTCCATAAAATTGAAAAGTATCTTGTGCTTTCTACATGTGTATATGTGATATGCTGTATTTTCTATTTTTGTTTTTACTCTAGAATGCAGCACAAACAGAAGAAATAAAACGAGAAGAATGGATGATTGTTCCAGATACTTCCCGCCGAAATCAGCTTGGTGCTATTTCCAGGTGCTTGGCTCCAGGATCACAGAAAACCTCTAGAAAAGTGAGACCAGCATTATATTATGCATTAATTTTTAGAATTTTGCTATGTGTAGCAATATTCAGACAGTCCTTAAAAGTTCTTCCATTTTCTAGAAATGATTTTTGGTCCTTAAAAGTCCTTAATTTTTGCCAAAATGGACAGAAGGTCCTTAATTTTACTCATCTGACATTTCTGTCTGTTTTTTTACAACTTACATTTTGAGTGTGAATTAAAATTTTAGAGGAATATTTTTTGACGATGCATTGACAACATGCATTCAATGGGTTAACATTTGAATCTATCCCTACTTGTTAATATAAAAGGTTGATACTCAAGCTTTAGACACAAGGTTATCTTTTGTTGAAACAGAAACATTTTGAAATAGTTTCTTTCTTGCAAATTAAAAATTCATAAAATATTACTTCTTTGGTATCTGGACAACTACTAAATACCATCTTTAATAAAATCAAAATATATATATAATATTTGAATGACATCAATCTCTGCAGTGAATGGAGCAAAACTTTCAAAAAAAGAAAGAAGAAAAAAAGGTTCTCTCTTTTTGTTGCAGTCCTGCAGAGCATTGTTGTTGTGCATGCGCTAGGAGGAGAAATCGGGGTATGACATCAGCGATGAAGAAATGTAGGGAGGAAAAGGTAAAACATTACACATCAAAAACAACTTTTTCCTTTTTTTGGGATATGAGTTATTATCTGGTACTAAATTTGGTGACTTAGTCAACATTTTGGCAATTTCAAAATCAATTTGTATATAAAATTTTTTATTCAGATATGTGAAATTTTGTCAATTTTTTATGAGCACTTTATTTGTCTTGCATTGATAAAAATCAGAACAACATTGATAAATATCATAAAAATTGTATTTAAGAAATATTTAAGATGATATATTAAAATAAAACATTATTATTGTCTCCTATATTTTAAAATGACATTACTCTCTATTTTCAAAATTTAGGACTATTTTGGTTCTGAAAAATAAACGAGTTAATAAATGCTATAAAGCGCATTTTCTGAACACCTCATAGAAAAAGCAAATATGCTACCATAATTATTTATAAATTAAATCATCTTCTTTACATTTACAGCATGTCATTACAGAAATGAAATTAGCACTTTTTATCATGAAATTGTTTCAAAATATTTAAATGTGAGTCAGTTTTCTAATCGAAAATTCACTTTACACTTCTCTTTTCTGATTTTTTTCCCCAAAGATCTTCTGGCTTTTTGTTTTTGAAATTTTATGTGAAATTTCAGTATCTTTTGTATAATGCAATGGGAGAATTCTGAAGATGTGAATCTTTTCTGAATAAAACAGATTACAAGGGCAAGTCTTTTTTCTACTCCCTGTGCTGTAATTGGATATCTAAATTGATCCCTGTATGTAACTGTAACTGCATCCGGCCTTTATATACAGGGTGTTTCATAGATCATGGGACAAACTTGGAGGGGTGGTAGAGCATACTAAAACATGCATTTTTTATATAAGAATGTAGGGTCTAAGTGACGGGTTAAGGCAGGAACACAAAAAAAGACACGAGAGGAAAATTATGATAATAAATAACATAAATTATTAAAATAATAAATAATTTCTGTACAAATGAACGCAAAATCTTTTGCAGCAATACAGTATTCACAATAAATGTTCCAAAAAAAAAAAAAAAAAAAAAGGGAACACTAAAGTAATGAACTACAGTGTGATTGGCTGGAATGCAAGCGATAGAGGGTGGTAGTGAGCCAGACCAACACGATCGATGCATCAGGATCATTCGCAACTCTGATGTCAAGCGTGATGGGTGAGTTAATGCACAGGGAAAAAGCTGACATGCATCTCATGTATGGTGCTGCTAATGGGAACAGCAGTACCAGGAATGGTTTCTGAACAAGCGTATGCCAAAGTACATGTTAGAAAGGTTGCATCGGTCTCTGTGTGAAAACGGGTCATTTGAAGCCACCTCTGACCCTAGGAAGAAGAAGTGCTCGACAACTTCGCATTGAAGAATCCATCTTGAACATTGTGCCTGAATCACCTCAGACAAGTACAAGAGCTGTTGCACGTTGTCTGCAGCTGAGACATTCCACTTTGGAGGATTGTGAAATGGTTTGCACCCATACCATTTGCAGAGAGTCCAAGCCTTGCAAGAGACAGATTGACCCTCTTTGAGTTCATTTGTAATTGGTTCTGCAGCAGTGTGCAGCGCAGGCGGATTTCCCATCGGATGTACTATTCACGGATGAGGCAACTTTTTCACAGGACGCTTGCGGTATCAATTTAATTAATATGGGACATAATAGAGAACCATAAGTTCCTGCATTTACCCCTAAGGCTTCTAAATTGCGAACTTCTGTTTGACAAGTATCTAACGATTCTCTAACCCAAGTAGCACAGCAACATCATAATAATGTTGCAAACTCGTCGCGGATAACATTGCAATATGTCATTTTTAAGACGGCCAAATATCTGCGAAACTCCACTGTTTTGCAACCATTGCAAAGACGTCTTTATTACATTTTTGCATATGAGGTTTTTATTGCATAGACGTCGTTATTGCGTCTTTCTCAGGTGATATTTTGGTTGTGAAGGCATCGTATCACACGTCTAACGATGCCAATGTTCGCAAATTCCACCTTTTTGCAACAGTTGTGAAAATGTCGTATTATCCATGGGTTAATATTGATTTCTGCAGACAATAGCTTAATAATTATATTTTCTTCTTTTTTAAAATTTTGAATTCCTTGTATTTATCTAAGTTAAATATTTTTATCATTTCCTGAAAGCCAGCAGATAAAACAATTTTTCTCTTTAGACTAAATATGCATAATTATAATAGCCTTAATTATTTCAGTACTCAAATATTTTTAAATGACTAAATCTACAACTATTTAAGATTTCATATTTTTTTTCCTTAAATTCGAGTAATTGAAAGTGGATTATAAATATATAACTAATAGTAGGTTTTAGTACTATAATCAATTAGACGAATAAAAGTAAAGATTATGTGTGGGAAAAAAGGAGTGTTTCTGATAACAGCATTATCACATTTATTCTGTTAAATATCAGACATTGAAATTGTCCCCTGTCATGATAAATTAGGATACTTTCTTAAGGTAACATAATCAGTATTTTACTGAACTCAATATATATTCGCGTCGCCGTAAAAAATATAACCATTAACTTCTTTATCTCCAAGATATGCAAATGAAAGACAGTATAAAGTAGTTAATAAATTGTGACCAAAAATATTTCATACAAAAGTACCTAAATCTAAACTTCTCATATATATCTAAAAAAATAATAACCTAACAAACAACATAATGACTACACTATTTAAGAAAAAACTGACTAGTAGTGTTTTGAAAGTATAAATAGCAGAAGGAAGGTCACAGAATAAAATTTCCAATTAATAAAAAAAAATTTGTGTTTTTAAATAGTAACAATAAAAGTGCAATAATTATGGATTGCAGTATATACTAGTAATGCTGATGTTTCTTAACACCATTTCTTTCGGTCATATGTAAATGTATTTACCTATTTTTAGTTTCTACACTTTAGAATAGTGCTAGATTATGGTGATCATTTCAGGCACATTTATAATCAATAACTTTCCTTTTTAAGACACAATAACACGCCGAATAAATACTAATACAGAAGTCAAACAACAAAAATCAGCATTATATTTACAAAATTTTAACAGAATAGTTCGATGGTGTTACGAACCCCATCTTCATCTCAAAACGCTAATGAACAGATAGGAACAATGACTAGATAAGATAAGAAAGCCTGGACATGATAAGCAAGTGCCAGTGGCGCCATCTGTTGGCGAAACCAGAACTAAACATAATTTCTCTAAAGCCGAAGCAAATTTGGATTGGAATTTAGGATCGTTAACTAGAACGAAAAGATTTTTATGAATGTGAAATGCCTCTAGAAATCCAGTTCTCAATGGAAGATTTTTTTGAATAATTTTAGCAGCAGAAAAATTGAATAGCAGGATCATAGAATTCATTGTTGAAAGAACTTTATTTAAATCATCTTTATTACTTCAAACAGGGTAAAAGTATCGTCTACATAGCGAACCATGCGGAAGTTTAAAGTTTCAAACAATTTTGATTCAAATAAGCATGTAGATATCAGCCAGGATGGGACTGAGGGGGTTCCCATGGCTAATCCCTCACTTTGCTTGTAATATTTATTTTGGAAAACAAAATGTGTTTGTTTCAAACAGAGTTGAGGTAGACGATACTTTTACCCTGTTTGAAGGTAATAAAGATGATTTAAATAAAGTTCTTTCAACAATGAATTCTACTGATCCTGCTATTCGGTTCACTTTTGAACTTGAGACTTGCAATTCTCTTCCGTTTCTCGACATTCTGGTCACACGTAACACATCCAACTTCAGTACTACAGTTTACCGTAAACCTTCATCGGTTTGCCTTCCACCACACTTTAAATCATGTCATCTGACTAACAAAAGTTAGCTTCATTTTATTCCTATTTTTCCGTGCTCTTCAAGTTTGCTCCTCCAAACTAGCCCTTGATGAAGAACTAAATTATTTAAAAGCAATAGCTATTGACAGGGGCTTTTCACCCCAACATTATAATCAAGCAGTTAAAAATTCTCATCTCAACACACTAAAAGCCACACTCTTATTTTAGGAGATTATAAAAATTCTGTTGTCATTCCCTTCTTTCCATCAATTAGCTATAAAGTTGCACATATTTTGCAGAAATTTAACAAGAATAAGCAAGTGGCGTCATCTGTTGGCGAAACCAGAACTAAAACATAATTTCTCTGAAAGCCGAAGGCAAATTTGGATTGGAATTAGGATCGTTAACTAGAACAGAAAGATTTTTATGAATGTGAAATGCCTCTAGAAAATCCAGTTCTCCAATGGAAGATGTTTTTTGAATAATTTTGGCAGCAGAAAAATTGAAAGTGTGATTTTCGGACCAACAATGTTGAGCAACAGAAGACTTCTGTGTTTCCTTTTTTCTAACATATG